GGGGGGGGGGGGCATTGCTGGGGGGTGGCAGGTGTGTGATGTTGGTGAGAGTCACTCTCCCTTTCCCCCCTCACATGTGCCAGCATGACAGAGGGCTTGGGCCAGCTGACGGATGGTGTGTCAGGGCTGGATGACTTCACGCAGACCCATGAGTACCATGTCTGGCCGGGCTATGACTATGTTGGCTGGCGCAATGAAAGCACCACTGGAGGCTATGTGGAGATCACCTTCGAGTTCGACCGCATCAGGAACTTCACCGCCATGAAGGTCTGCGCACCCCCCGCCCTGTCCCCCATCCCCATCCCTCGCCATGGCCATGTTGACGGGCTGTCCCACAGGTCCACTGCAACAACATGTTTGCCAAAGGGGTGAAGATCTTCAAGGAGGTGCAGTGCTACTTCCGTGCTGACGCCAGTGAGTGGGAGCCCAGTGCCGTCTCCTCAGTACTGGTGTTGGATGATGTGAACCCCAGTGCCCGCTTTGTCACCGTGCCCCTGCTCCACCGCATGGCCAGCGCCATCAAGTGCCAGTACTACTTTGCTGATGTCTGGATGATGTTCAGCGAGATCACCTTCCAGTCGGGTATCTGCCGTCATGAACCCCATAGGGATCTGACCCTCCTGGGGGAGGTTTCAAGGAGAGAGTGGGGCTGTGGGGCACCTCCACCGCTCACCCTTATGCTCTCCTCTTCTCCCTTGCCAGACGCAGCCATGTACAATAACTCTGTGGCCCCCCCTGAGGTGTCCGTGGTCCCCACCACTTATGGTAAGGCATCAAAAAGCATGTTTCTGAGTTGGGTGGGAAGATGCTCTGGGGCACTCTGCCCCATCTGATGGAGGAAAGGGGCAGGGCCTCCCCATGCCCCAGTGTAACTGGCTCTTGCTGTCCCCTTCTCCTGCCAGACCCCACGCTCAAGGTAGACGACAGCAACACACGCATCCTGATCGGGTGCCTGGTGGCAATCATCTTCATCCTGGTGGCCATCATTGTCATCATACTGTGGCGGCAGTTCTGGCAGAAGATGCTGGAGAAGGTGGGCAAGTGCAGTGTGGCTAGCGAGGTGTCCCAGGGTGGTGGGCTCATCCTGGGCAGGTTTTTCTGGAAGTTCAGCATGGGGAAAGCAGACTCCATGCAGGGAGTGATGCTCCCTTCCCCTCCTCAGGAAGGTTGTGATTTGCACCCATCTCCCAAGCAAGGGGATTTAGCTGAGCAGGGTGGTGACTTTGGGATGTACCTGCTTGTCCACTCCTCTGTCCTGAAGCTGGGCTGGGGAAGAGGATCCCAAGGGGGTCTCACTGCATCCCCCAGCTAACTGAGAGCAGTCACAGAGGTGATGGAGCCAAACTCTTCTCCATAGAGGCAGACAATAGGAGGAGGGCATGGTAATAAACATTTTCTCCAGGCGAGGGCACCAGAGAGGAGGACTCGGCGTTGGGCATGGCCACAGTGCCATGGAGCAGAGGAGACCCCATCCCACTGGTGCTACAGAGACCCCTTGTCCCAGCTCTCTCCTCCCTTGTCCCCCTCTCACAGGCATCGCGGAGGATGCTGGATGATGAAATGACCGTCAGCCTTTCCCTGCCCAGTGAATCCAGCATGTTCAACCACAACCGCTCCTCCTCCTCCAGTGAGCAAGAGTCCAGTTCCACCTATGACCGCATATTCCCCCTGGGACCTGACTACCAGGAGCCTTCCCGCCTGATCCGCAAGCTGCCCGAGTTCACCCCAGGGGAGGAGGACACGGGTGAGAGCCAGGACACCCTGCATGCTTAGAGCCATCTACCACACATCGAGCCTGCTGCAGCCTCCTCTCCCCAGCTTTTGGCCAATCTCCCCCAGAAGGGTAGGGGGCAGGTCGCACAAGCTCTTGTGCATCCCACTTGGAGGTCACACAAAACCTGTGGCTGAGAGCCATTGCCAGTGTCCGTTGTCAGGCTGAGCTGTGTCCTCACCACTGTCCTTGGGATGCTCTGGAATCTTCCTTAGTGATCCAGAGGTTGGGCACTGATCCCTGATCATCTGGTGCTTGGGGCTGGGTTGGTGCATTTGATGGGGAAGGAACAGAGCAGCCTGTGATATCTGCAGGAGCCCAGCCATGCTGGGGCAGCATTGGGATTCTGCAGAGGATGGGGATGGAGAAGCTGATGGCTGGAGTGTGATCAAGTGCTGGGGAGCAGAGGGTGCAGGGCAGGACACCCATGTCAGGGCTGGACCCACTGTCCCCCTCCAGGCTGCAGCGGCCCTGTGAAGCCATCCCAGGCCAGTGTCCCCGAGGGCGTCCCCCACTATGCTGAGGCCGACATCGTGAACCTGCAGGGCGTGACAGGCGGCAACACCTACTCTGTGCCGGCCCTCACCATGGACCTGCTGTCCGGCAAGGACGTGGCCGTTGAGGAGTTCCCCAGGAAGCTGCTGACCTTCAAGGAGAAGCTGGGGGAAGGCCAGTTTGGGGAGGTGAGTGGGAGCTGGAGCTGCTCTGAGCAGGGCTTGGGCAAGGCTCTTCCCAGTTCATGAGGGAGGCTGTCAGTTGGCAGAGATAATGCCCCTTGCCCCCCTCCAGGTTCATCTCTGTGAAGTGGAGGGGATGGAGAAGTTCACAGGCAAGGACTTTGCACTGGAAGGCTTGGACATCAGCTCCAATTGCCCTGTGCTGGTGGCTGTGAAGATGCTGCGAGCGGATGCCAACAAGAATGCAAGGTATGGGGTTGGGGATGCACACACGCCGGCATTGCCCACCATGTAGAGCCCTCCCAGGAGAGCCAGGACACTTAGAAAACATCCCCTGTCTCCAGCAGCCAGGTGCTTGGTGTAGCTGTGAGGACCACACATCTGAGCCATCTGGGGATGCTGTGTTGATTGAGGACTCTTGATCCTTGCTGGTCCTGACCAGCTCCCCAGCACCCCATCTACCTGCTGAGTTCACCTCACAGTGCGCAGATCAGCCCTGAGCTCCCCCTCATGACCCCCAGTCCCACGGGTCCCCCACAAGGCTTGGGCGGGTGGGTGGCACACTCATCCAGTATGTGCGCACCTCCATGCTCCTCTGGGTCTGTCTATCCGATCCATGTGGTTTCTGTTCCGGAAAGGAATGATTTTCTGAAGGAAATCAAGATTATGTCACGGCTGAAGGACCCCAACATCATCCGGCTGCTGGCAGTGTGCATCACAGATGACCCACTGTGCATGATCACTGAGTACATGGAGAATGGAGACCTCAATCAGTTCCTGTCCCGCCAGCAGGCAGGTGGCCCCCCCACCAGCCATGTGCCCACCATCAGGTAGTGCCACCCAGGATGGGCAGGGGTGGGGCAGAGCTGCCTGCTCTAAGCACTCTGCCTGGCTGTGGGGTGCCCCTCTCGGGGCTGTATACTCCCTGGCTGCCATCCTTCCTGGCACCTCAGTCCTCCCTTGTCGTCCCCCCCCCCGACAGCTACAGTGACCTGCGGTTCATGGCCACCCAGATTGCCTCTGGCATGAAGTATCTCTCATCCCTCAACTTTGTGCACCGAGACCTGGCCACACGCAACTGCCTGGTGGGGAAGCAGTACACCATCAAGATAGCTGACTTTGGCATGAGCAGGAATCTCTACAGTGGGGACTACTACCGCATCCAGGGGCGGGCAGTGCTCCCCATCCGCTGGATGTCCTGGGAGAGCATCCTGCTGGTACGCGGGGGCTGGGGTCCTCTGACAGACACTGACACGGTCCTGGGGCTGCTCACAGCCTCTTTTCATGGGTTGGGGGGTGCAGAAGGGGTGGAGAAGTTTCTCCTCCCTGGAGCCCACCTTTGGGATGAAGCATGCAGAAAGCAGGAGTGGTAGCAGATTTCTGAGGTGGTATGAGGGGATTACAGTGGTCTTTGGTGTCTCAGTGCCCAGCCTTTGTGAGTGGGCTGCTTGACATTTTCTCCTGGCCATGGTCACACCGGGAAGAGGGAGCAGGGTTATATTTTATTTTTGCAGGGAGCTGGGTCCTTACTGAGTCTCAGCTCTCAGAGCAGTCACTGCAAACCAGACTCAGAGCTTGCCAGGCTCTGGCCCCAGGCAGAGATCAGGTCTGTGGGACCAAGCCCCACTCTGGGCCCAGATCTGGAAGCTGAAGCATCCAGAAAGCGTTTTGAACCCTGGGCCCATAGGGCTTATGGAACACGATGGGGTAATGCCCGTGCCTGACCCCAGTCTGTTCCCTCTGGCCAGGGCAAGTTCACAACTGCCAGTGATGTGTGGGCATTTGGCGTGACGCTGTGGGAGACCTTCACACTCTGCCGGGAGCAGCCCTACTCCCAGCTGTCCGACGAGCAGGTCATCGAAAACACTGGCGAGTTTTTCCGGGACCAGGGCAGGCAGGTATGAATGGGATGGGATGGGATGGGATGGGATGGGATGGGATGGGATGGGATGGGATGGGATGGGATGGGATCTGT